CAGTATGAGTGAACCAACCTAAGGGGATGGGAATAATCAAAAAATAAGGAAAAACAAAAAAGGTAACAAGTCAATGTGGATTTTGAAATGTTGTAGTATTTAAACACGTATTGCGGGAATGTAAATTTGCGTCCTAATTTGGGAGCCTCGTTGTGCCGAGGTAGGCCTAGGGACAAATAGATTTGTAGAACTTGGATGCCAAAAAATGCCTCATTTCATAACATAAAAATAGACGAATCCCAAAATGATACTAAGATAATAGAAAAAGATATGTTTTCTAAATAAAGATTAACCAATATTGAATTATATAAGTTACCTTTTTCTGAAACCACAAAGGAAATTCCTCTTTGTGCCTCTTGGCAACATTTCTGTTATTCTCCTTTGTTAATATTTCTAAATGTTCCCTATAGATAATGAAAATTAAAATAAAATGAATACATTACAAGATAGTCGTTGAGAGAATTTATAAGAAGCAAAGAATGTAAATTAAGTGAAAAGTATTTTACTCGATAAAAGGGCCAATTTCTGCACAATTTTGGAGGATGTAAAAATGTGCTTGCTTGATTTCAAGATCACTCAATTTTGTCCAATCACCCCCTCCAAATGGCTTACCACGACAGTTAAATACAGATAAGCCATTAGGATCCATGTTGGAAGAGCTAGAATTCCTATCTGGACGATTTTCTTTTGTCTCCATATCAGTCAAATATTTGGAACAGAATGCCATGCATTCTTCTGCAAGATAGCCCTCAGCAATTGACCCTTCTGGGCGAGCCATGTTGCGTACATAACCTTTTAATGTGCGCAACATTCTGTTAAGTAAAGATATATCAGTTTCATAGCAAATTTCAGCTAAAAGAAAAATTTAGAGTAGTAAAAATCTAACCTCTCGATGAAATACATCCATCGAAATTGAACAGGACCACCCTCCTTTGCCTCCTTTGCTAAATGAATTGCCAAATGAACCATGACATCAAAGAACGTTGGTAGGAATATACGTTCTAGTTTGCAAATTGTCATCCGTATGCTTTTATCTATTTTATCTAACTTATCCATATGCAACTCTTTAGCACACAAATCACTAAAGAATAATGACAATTCAATTAACGGATCATATGCATCCTTTGGCAAAATTCCTTTGATGATAAGAGGAAAGATACGCTGGAAAAGAACATGGTGATCATGACTTTTAAGTCCAAAAATTCTAGCTTCCTTAACATTGACACAACGACTAATGTTAGAAGCATAAGCATCAGGAAACTTGACATCTTTGATGAGTTGACAGAATTTAATCTTCTCCGTTTTGGACATTGTATAACTAGCAGGAGGAAGTATATACTTATCCCCACTTTTAATTGGATGGAGCGGCTTTTTGATTCTCATCTCTTGTATGTCCAATCGAGATTTCAATGTGTCCTTTGTTTTTCCGTCAATATCCAACAACGTTCCTATGACGCTTTCACTAATATTTTTCTCTATATGCATTACATCCAAATTATGTCTCAACAATACAGTCCTCCAATATGGTAGTTGAAAGAATATACTTTTCTTCTTCCAGTTGTCACGTCTTTCGGCATCTCGTTTTCTTTTTCTTGTGTTATCACCCATGGATCCTTGTGAGGATGTATTTATTTGTGCAAGCACATCATCTCCACTCAATGCTTGTGGTGCAAGTCTTTCTTCCCTTGTATTATCAAAAGAACTTTTGCTCCGACGATAAGGATGATTTATCTCCAAGAACCTACGATGACTCATGTAGCAATGCTTTCGACCATGTTTCAAGTAAATGGAGCAAGTATTTACATGACAAACAGGACAAGCGAATTTACCTTTAGTGCTCCAACCGGACAAAATGCCATATGCAGGAAAGTCATTAATTGTCCACAATAAAGAAGCACGCAATTGAAAATTTTGTTGCTTAAAAGCATCATAAGTCTCAATTCCATCCTCCCATAATTTTTTCAAATCATCAACCAAATGTTGGAGATACACATCTATATTCATACCAGGGCTTTTAGGGCCAGGAATAAGCAAGGATAACAAAATATTAGATTGTTTCATGCATAGCCACGGGGGTAGATTATACGGAATCAAGAATACTGGCCACATACTGTAGGCATTACTCATGGAACCAAAAGGATTAAAACCATCTGAAGCAAGTCCAAGTCTTACATTACGTGGATCTGATGCAAAATCCAAATGTTTCTCATCAAAAGTTTTCCATGTCAGTGAGTCAGCTGGATGCCTTAATACTCCATCATCAACTCGTTTATTTTTATGCCACCTCATATCTTCTGCGGTTTGTTTAGTCATAAACAACCGTTGTAATCTTGGTATCAAAGGAAAGTATCTAAGAATTTTTCTAGGAATTCCTTTCTTTCTCTTATTCAAATTACTTGAAGCAACTTCAGTGTCATCTTCTCCTTTTCGTACTATCCATCTTTTCTCACCACATTCAGGGCATTGCTCAAGATCCTCATATTCCTTTCTATATAAGATGCAATTATTAACACAAGCATCTATTTTCACGTAATCTAGACCCAAATCTTTAATAATCTTTTGAACTTCATAAATAGAATTAGGGAACACATGTCCTTTGGGAAAAACATCACTTAATAATTTTAACAAAGAGTCTAATGAAGTATTACTCCAACCATGCAAGCACTTCATTTGAAAAAGACGCATTACAAAAGAGAGCTTCGAGAACTTTTCACAATCTGGATACAGCTTTTGCTCTGCATCCTTTAACAATCGATAAAAACTCTTAGCTTCTGCATTAGGTTCTTCATATCTAGACTCAGCTCTGACTCATAAGTTATATTATCTGTAGGAATACCACGATACATGTCATGCAACATCTTGAAAGTGGCAGCATCATCGTTTCCTAAATCTGAATCTGCACTAGAATTTATTTCATCGTCTGAAGATGAATCCGACTCACCATGATGAATCCACCTATTATATGTTGGATCTATACCCCACCTAAGTAAATCTATTTTTACTTCTTCTCGTGTTTTCCTACGTACATGGTTGCAGTTAGTGCACGGACATTGAATTCTTATACCAACATTAGGATTTGAAAATGCAAAGTTCAAAAATTGTTCCACGCCATTCAAGTATTCTGGTAATGCCCTGTTTCTAAGAAGAATCCAACTTTTATCCATTATATAATTACCTACAAAAATATAAAATAGTAGATGTCCCTCAATTATTTGCTGTCAATTTACCAAAAAAATAAATAAGGGAAAGGTCAGAGAAAGACTCTATATCAAAATATAGTTAAAACAATATATAATTTGAATGAACAGTGATACGAGCAAAGAAACACATGAGGTGCCGTCGAGGCCCTTTATCTGTTTAATTGAATTGTTTTTTTATATATATTGAGAGAAAAATTAAGGGATTCTACCTCATTTGCCTTTAATTTCAACAAGCACCAGATTCGACAAACCTAACAGCAAATATACTACATCTTGAACACTAGCAAATTCTAACAGCAAATTCAACAAGCACCAGATTTGCCTTTAAACAAAGATCAAATTTATACTCACTTGAACACTAGCAAATTCTAACAGCAGAAGTTGAAGAAAAAATGGATGACCACAATTGAAAAAACCAATGATAAGAAATTAACAAACAACTAAACTACATAAAAATAGAAGATGAATAGGGGAAAGAACCTGTAAGGCAGATTACTTTAGATGAATAGTAATCAAGAGCACTCACCGGACTTTGTAGACGAGACAGAACCAGTTGCTCAGAGTTGTCGAATAATAAAGGAAAAAACCTAGCTAGAATGGTAACTGAAATAGGCTAAGGATTAAGGAAAAGTTAATTGAAAAGAAAAAACGGGTTTGTGCAGAAACTAGGTTTGCCGCGTTTCTTTTGGCGGAAAGTTGAAAATACTTAGCAAAATTTTAGGCCACAAACCAAACCTGTTGAGAAACATCAGGCGTGAACCAAACTTGTTGAGAAAATTAAGGGATCTACCAACAAGAAATACAAATTATTGCCAATTTATTACAATTAATACTACTACTATATTTTCACATAAAATATGGCAACAACACAAAACCTTTCTAGAGTGGCAACGAAAAGAGGGGGCTAAAAATTCGGAAAAGTAATTAACAAGAGAAGAGTTTGCCGCCTTCGATTTTGGCGAAAAACTGAAAAATAATTAGCTAACTTTTAGCCACACCCCACCCATATTGTTGGCAAAAAATAATTATATTGCCAACAATACAAATATATTGTTGCCAATTCTATTTATATTTTAAATTTATTATATTGTCCATAAAATATGGCAATAAGAATATAAAATATTGGTAACAAGGAAAAAATCATGGCTAAAATTTCTATGATATAGCAACAATTTTATCAAGTTGTTGTCATTTATTACAATAAGCCAACAACACTATGATTGTTGCAAAAAAGTTGTTGCTAATTTTTTTAATTTTAAACTTAATATCTAAACGATAGATTATGGCAACGATATTATTATGTTTGCAAACAAGAAAAATTTTGTATTTAAAAGTTCTGTGATATAGCAACAACTTTATCAAGTTGCTGCTATTTGTCGATTTTTGCCAACAAAATTGTAGTTGCTGCTAAAAAATTGTTGCAAATTTCATACTTTCTTGTAGTGAATTCTCATCTTCTACAATGGCTACTCCTTCTTCATGAGAAGGCATGTCCACAGCCAACGCGACAGGATCAGTGGATCCCTCAAGGTTAGAGGATGCACTAGCCATTTTTCTGATTGCGTATAAGAGAAGAAAGTGCAAAGGTGAAAGGGATAACAATGGTGGAAAACATTAAAAGAGGGGAGAGATAAAGATGCAAGAAATTTAAATAAGAAGAAGCGCTTGGGGTTTCAAATGATAAAGAAATGCAACAGCTCAAATGAGGAATCCCCATCCCTATTTATAAGAATACTGGCACCCTGATCGAGAAAGACAAACGCTGCCACATTAATTTTGAATTGGAAGAGGCGCGGGAAACGACGTAGCATATTGGGAACATACGCCATAATGACGCATAATGAAATGACGTCATTTCAAACTGACGTAACGGTCAGATGTGGCTATTGAAGCGCCACATCATCACCTTGCCATAAAAGGGTCGCTCCTCGACCAACATGCTCAGATTTCTATAATTGCAACTGGCGAAGTCCGCCCATCGAGCTCGTCCAAAGACAACCCCGACGGGCAGATGGACTAACTGTATAGGTCAAAATCTGATCGGAGGAATCTTGTCGAAGAGAGGATAACTAAGAGTTGATTAGGCCGAGGTCATGCTTAAGAAATAACATATTGGCGAGCTGATCAGTTAGGGTCGAGGTCGAGCACTCAAATCGGCCCAAACGGCTAGTTTAGTAATAAGATATTTTAAAGGAATATTCTACAGAATATTCTCTGCTCTTGTACTTTTAGTTAGGTAAGGGATATGTCCATATAAGTAGGAATAGAGAGAAAAGAGAAAGACATGTAATATTCTATATGATAAGCTCTCTCTTGAAAAGTTGACTCTCAAGTAAACTACAAATATTGTCTTTACAAAAGATTCGATTTATTGTTGGTCCCAAGCTTTCTCACATCAGATCCGAGAAAGCTTTCTATATTCCCACGTTTGATTGCCTTACATCATTGTCAGAGAGAGAATCATCCACCTCATTGAATATTTGGGTGAATCATTCTCTCTATTTACATTTATTGACATTTATCATATTTATTACTTGTCTTTATTCTCTCATACATTCATAACAATTTCATTAAACACTCCCTTGGTAGTATTTAATAGCTTGAATGCAATTTTACGCTATTGACGTCTATTAATCTCAGATCTAGGATTTGTTATATTTAACTAAGATTTACCCATTATCATCTTATTTAATTAGTTTAACTAAAAAGCATAACACTTTTTGGTCAAACACTTCTAAGACTAATTAAGTCATAATAGCTTCATTGAAGAAACAAGCTGGAAAATGTGCTAGATGGTGGTAATAATCCTCATTTTAAGGAATAAGTTAATAGCTTCGACTTGGTACCTCCAACCAACCTGCTTGCTTAAGGCGCAATTTAACGTACGATTGCTAGTTTAACCATCCTCTTTCCCATATGTTTTTATTTATATGCAATGATTTCACTATTGGAGTAGTTGTTACCGAACCTTATATTTAAAAAAACACACACAAAATAATCGTAATGTTAGCTGATAAAAAGAAGATTAACAATTCACCAACTCTAGTGAAGCCTTAAATCTAATTAACTAAGGAGCTAAAGTATCTCCTTTTTAAGTTCTCTAAATTTTTATGAGAAAAAAATGTATATTTTACCTGCTCTCAAATATAATAATCGACAAAATATATATTTTTTGTATATATGTGTATTATCTATACATAATATGCATATTTTTATACTTCTTGACTAGCGAATGTAATTAGTTTCATCCAACCGGCCAATTTAGTATTTTGCCAAAAAAAAATTCCCTAATTATAACAATGAATGGAACAGGTTGCGGTTGTTCCCTTGTAACGTTGTGGCTTTGATTTTCCTTTTACGTACCTTTTCTAAAAGAAAGTAAATATTACTATTTTCTCTTGGAAAAAATCCTTAACGAAGCGATGAATTGCTATATTCTGATGTAATTCAGTCGCTCGTATTCGCTAAAAAATGTCGAGTTGGAGTACATAAATTAACCAGATTGTGTTAAGAGCTAGGTGAAATATCGTTCTCTATTTTTTTTCTAAATAGAAAAACACGGAGAACTGATTTTTTTTTCTTTGCAACTGATAAAAGAGCTTGATCGCGAATGCAAGCCAAGCTATTCAATTATCCTAATCTAGACGTACGCAATTTGCACGCCTGCAAATACGAGTCACGACAGATTAAAGATTCAGTATTTCTCGTTTTGGCATAATTACTGTTTTGACAGTGACAACAAGATGAAAACATGTGCTCTACGCCTCTACCAACTGTGATTTAGTTCTAAGTTCTAACGAGTATGGTATGACGGCATTAATCCCTCCTTCATTATTTAGGGTCGAGTTTGAGCTTTGAGTATAAAAAATATCGAATATGAATATAGGAGGAAAAAAACCCAATACGTGAATGATAACAAATATTTTTACTCCCTTGCTCACATTTTATATCACGCTATTATTAATCGAGAAGTCAAATAATTTCTTTTCTTATTACAGTTTTTCTACAGATTTTCTAATCAAAATACTTTTAATCTAGTTACTATGATTTAGAGTACTTTTTGTACTGTTCCAAAATATACACGTACTCCCTCTGTTTCAATTTAAATGACACACTTTTCTTATTAGTCTGTTCCAAAAAGAATGACACATTTCTATATTTGAAAACAATTAATCTTAACCTTTTTATTTTATCCTTAATGAGAAGCTTTTATAGCCACAAAAATGTCATGGCCCTACGAAGCTTTTGCTCCTTAAACTTTTTGAACCATATATTTCAAAAGGGTTCTTTTTTTCCTTAAACTTTGTGCCAAGTCAAACTACATTATCTAAATTAAAACGGACGGAGTAATTTATTTCAAAAGAAGTAAAGAAGTTATGTGTTAGATTTTTACTGAAAATCAAATGTTTGACAGTCGTATCAAACTCTATAATTGTTTTGAGAGCACAAGAGAAGTTTAAAATAATTGTATTACAAGAAAAATTCAAGGAAGAACATCATTTATCTTACCTAAAGATGTCCTGAAACGGGAGAATGAAAAAAGATCGATTATGACACTTTACCTTAATCTGTTTTTTGGGATGCATGTGTTGTCAATAAGCAACCAATGAAAGAAACAGAAGATGGTCCCTGTCAAGAAAATTATTGTTGACTGCAAAAATAGATTTCACAAGAAAATGTAATTTAATTTAAGTTTCAGAATACTCTTTCTTGATAATAAGGGTAGTACTTTTTTAACTAAAGCAAATAACAAAATTAAAGTAGAATAAAACCTTTTTGATTATCGTCCAATAATTATTGAACTTTTAACTCTTAATTAAATTCTTCTGCAAGCAAAATAGTCTTTTTCTTGACGTTTCACTTGCTGGTCCTGACAAGGAATTTGGTGTTGGTGTGTTAGTCAAGAGAACGTGGATTATTTGGGCTAATCTATTTGAAACCTCGTGGATATAAAACAGTATATGCTACAAATGCAAAGAGTAACAAAAAATGAATCATCGAAAAGTTGATTCACAAGGAAGTATAGCGTTTTCATGGGAAGATTCACCTGGAGTGTGTAAATATTTCACACACCAGAAATTCTCATCTTCTCATAATTTCAACGTTGAAAAGATTCCGCCGCTACCGGCGCCGCCGTGCAGCTCTCGGCCACCAGTTAGCAGAAGCACTTCAATGAGATGCTCGCCACGTGACGATCCTTTTGTAGCAGCATTAATAGAGTGCACAAAAAGTGTAGGAAACAGCAAACGAAGACCCATTGATTATGAGCCAAGAAAGAATATTGGATCGTCAAAGGGATCAAAGAAAAGCTATTTGTGTATCTTCTCTTGCAAGCAGTCTAGTGACGATGTTAAAGTTGGTAACTTGGTGACATTATCGAATCTTCCACCTATTCCTAGAACTAGAGGAAGAAGATACAGAGCTCTTACGAACGTAGACGAGGATTGATTTCTCCTACATGTCAGTCTATGAATTAAACTTCAGCGCTTTTATATTAAATTATGATGATGCATGATCTCATAATTGAAAGGTTCAGCTCGATCAGTTTTTTCCCTAGGCAATATATATAATATATGCATGTATAAGTATAAAGTATGTTAGATCTTAATTTCATGAATTGTGCTGCAAACCGATTCATTTTTGTTCTTTACATAGTAGATTTTCGTTGTTGTATATGTGCATGTGTCTGCCAATATTTTTTTTTACGTTATACTGTATGTGTAATCGACATTCAGGGTACTTAACAAATTTTTTCATGCTGAAAATATGTTATTGCGGTATGACAACTAAATTAGTATCCAGTCAGAACTAAATCAGACTGTACTCTATTCATAGTTTTATTAGGTTATTAAAAACTCCTAGTACAACTAACTAGCTAATCTACTGGTGGAGCCAAAAAAAATTATTAGATTTTTAAGAGACCATATGATGACATATACAGTTAATTGATAAACTATGAGGAATTTTGAGAGGAAACTATTTGGTGAGCTTGGTGGTCATTTTAAAATTTTGAAAGATCTCTCTCTTCGTTTTTTTCTAAATTTAAATTTTTTAAAATAGAAGGGGAGCCTTGCATAATTGGTAAAGTTGCTGTCATGTTACCAGGAAATCACGGGTTACAAGGTAAGATTACGTACCATAGACGCGACATCATAGTATACCAGGCTGCCCTTTTAATTTAAATTTTTAATAACTCCTACCCTTTTCCAGAAAGATCAACAAAACAACAATGTTCTATTTTATCGTGCAATAGACTCGAACTTCGACTTATCTTTTTGCAGTGAAAGTGCTCAAACGTCGAAGTGATTAGCCTCACTCGATCGTCAGCTTGGTGGTGATCTTCAAATTATCGAGAGCTTGGAATGAAGCAATATATCAATGAGCATTTACAATAAGAGTGCTAGGTTCATATTGACATTATATAAATAGAGTGACCAGTTGATCCAAGCTCTTATAATAAAACAAATTCTACTGTGGCTAGCAAAACTTTGATGATCTTTTCTAGCTATCTAATGAATGGGAAAGTTAGTAGGAGCAACTTTTTGTTGCTC